TTCTATGGTGCGCGATAGAACCAACATGTTCTATGGTGCGCGATACCCAACTGCCTTCATACATGTACTACCGTATACGCAATCAATATGAAGGTCAATCCTTAAGTAAACACTACGATAATGTCAACACGGCCGTCTACATTATATATATGATATTCTTTTAATTTTTTAATTAAATAATATAAACAGCACTTTGAACTAATGTATTCATTCATAACGGTCGGTATGTATTGACACTGCTCTAGTAGTGACGCGGTCGAACGTCGCAAAAGGAAGCTGACATTGTTTACCTTACCGTCATTTTTTTTGAATGCGCCTCCATGGAATAAGAAGTTTGCCAGCATCCATTTGATGCATAATCAGATACAAAATATCCCGAATATGTTCCATGTTTCTATATTTTGAAGAAACCTAAACAATGCCTGTCATTGAACAGCTATCTCGCGGAAGCGTAAACGGCGCCATATTTGAAACGGGTATCAATCCGCAGAGCCTTTTTTCATTGTTTATACGCTAATGCATGCGTAGTCAGAGTTTACTGGAGAAGGGATAAGTCAGAGTTTACTGGAGAAGGGATAAGTCAGAGATTACTGGAGAAGGGAGAGACCTTTAACATGTTTATTGATGAAAAGTGCGCATCCAGGTTTTTTAACTGTTCTCAAATCAATGCTTTAATAACATTTACCATTAAAGTACTTTTAGAAGCTTTCACGTTTTAAACGTAGGGATATTTTGTTCTGTATCAGAAGATATCATTTATATTAGCATTGTTTTCCTGATAATGTACGTCTTCAATATTGATGCATATTATTTACTTGTAAGGTCTTTTGCGTCATATAATACAGGTCAACAAGGCCCCAAAGGAAACAGGGGGCCAGACGGATTGCAGGGACAGTCTGGTCAAGGAGGGCCAAAAGGAGACCCAGGTCAGCAGGGGCCAAAGGGCATGAGGGGAGACTCTGGGTTACAAGGTGATATCGGACCTCCAGGATTGAAGGGGGCAAAGGGTCAGACAGGTCAACCCGGGGATAAGGGTCAAAGAGGGATTCAAGGCAATAGTGTAAGTTGACAAAGTAAATCGAATCATCAAAACTAATATGTAAGTTGCATGTGTCTTTTGAACGGATGCAATATCGCTTAGCGATAATTAAATATTGCTTCGATAATAAGGATGTACTGATGACCACTGAATGTGAAGAGAATATCAAGAGAATAACATGCCCGTACACCTAATTCCGTTTCTTGGTAGATTTGTAGCTTAATCAACATCACACATTAATATATTGGTCTCATATCAAATGTCCAAACCGTATGTGATAGCACGATCTAACACAATTTACCATACATAATGTTACTTAGGGACACGCCGGAAGTGTAGGTGTATCCGGGGCGAAGGGAACACATGGTGATCGTGGTGAAACAGGAACCATGGGAGAAAAAGGACGGGCTGGAGTTACGGGCCCTGCTGGTGACAAGGGAGCGCCAGGAGTACAAGGTTCCGCCGGAACTGACTCGAGGATGCTGTCGGACGGATGTGCCTGTATACGTAAGCCATCAGTAGATAAATCAGATGTTTGTTGATATTGTGAAAAAGTAGTATATTGTTGAGATTATTTGTAGTTTAATTGACGTTCGGATAATTCATTCAATGTCCAACTTTTTCAATAATCCCCGAAACAGTCATGAGGATCTCTGTCCTGATCCGGATATTTCCATGGCTGATACAGACCAAGGTCTCCTTGATTGACAAAGATGTTTGTAACACAGTTAATTCTTTTTCTATTCAGTAAACTGAACTTTGTTTTATCTTACACAGCTCAAACCCCACCAACTGTCATCCCGAGGTACAGGAAGCGGTTCACCATTACATGATGTCGATGCCAGTTTTGAATATTAAAACAGAAAACAATGAATTTGTTACACTTTGTTCAACTTATCTACTGTGTATTTGTTCCATAATTACTGTTATAATATGACTGGTGCTAATTCCTAGCCCTGATTGGAGGAGCGACGCCATGTGACGAGTGTGTAAATATGTTACAGACCTCGTTTTATGAATAGAAAAGTGTTACAGACCTCGACCTATAAATAGAAAAG